TGCTCTTACATACTGAAGTACGCTGGTTGTCGAAAGGTGCATGCTTAACGAGATTTTACTCTGTTTTCGATTCCATATTAGAGTTCTTAGAAAGTAGAGATCCAGATTTAAAAGAAAACTTGATCAAATTCAAAGCAGACATTGCGTATTTGACAGATTTGTTTAAAAAATTTAATGATATTAACTTGCAGTTACAAGGGGACAGCCTGAATTTAATAAAAACAAAGGGGATAATTTCGGCTTTTCTTGGGAAATTGAAATTTATGAAGCAAAACATTAGTCGGCGCGAATTCTCTCAATTTCCAAACTTGTCGCAGGTAGAATGTATTGATGAGGATATCCATACCTACAGTCAACATTTAAGTGCTCTGCATGATGACTTCAAAACCAGGTTTGAAGATATACTGACGATGGATATACCACCATGGATCATAAATCCATTTGATGAAACGGAAGTGGCCAATGTTGTATTACAAGAGGAGCTGCTCGAGCTAAGCACTAATGAGGAGCTGAAGGTGAAATTTAGAAAAGGCTACCCAACATTTTGGCTGCAAGCAGAAATACCCGAAAAATATCCTGGACTGTGGGAAATCGCAAGGAAATTTTTAATAGCTTTTCCCTCGTCATACCTTGTCGAAAGGAGTTTTAGTGCCGTTACAAACCTCTTAACAAAAAAAAAAGGAGCAAATTAAACATCACAGAGCGGGGGATTTGCGGTTATTGCTCACAAAAATAAACCCAAACATTGATCGTTTGCTGACACTCCATCAGATACATCCTTCCCATTAATTAAAATTATGACCTGAACCTATATTACCTTAATATTTTTCTTGTAATTCTATTCTTTTAATAAATAAAGTGATATAAAATGTACCATTTTTCGTTTTTATTTTACATATCGGAATATAGGGACAGAACTCAGAAGTGACACAATTTTTATTTTTTGGCGACTTTAAGAATGTGGTAGAAATGTAGCAGCAGGGGGTCCACCGAAACCAGTAAAATTTTGAAAGTGGCCCACGAGAAAAATAAGTTTGGGAACTACTGATGTACACTATCCGTTCCATATCCTGTCCTTCCCTACATTTTTTTAGCGGACGGACTGATGCGTATCGGAAACAGCGTTGTCAAGTTCTTACATTTGTACCAGCTCTGTTAACATTTTGCTGATATTTATTTATTCTTTCACCTCTTCATTAAATCTATTACCTTTTTCAAAAGATACAAATTTTTAAAATAAAACTTTCGTAATGATAAAAATTGTAGATAACAATAAAAGTATGAAACTGATACGGAACGGAAGCATACGTAGAGCGTGAATACAATCAAAGATACGGAACGGATATGGAATGGATATGGAATGAAAACGGAAGGTATAGTGAGAAACAACCTTTAATCTTCCAATTTCCAATTAAAATATAAAAAATGAACTAATATACATGGAATCGTGAAACCAGGCACTAAAGAAAAGTTAATAGATTAGAAATTATTAATATTAGAAAAACTTATTTACTTTTTAAGAAATTTTCCAAAAACGGGCAACGAATTTCATACTTTCAGGAAATTAAAAGTTTTAAAGAAAATGATTACAATATTAATTTAAACAACATTCGATTTAGATTAGATCTTATGAAACAATTATATATACCGAGTGTTTCTCAAAAGTGGATCACCCTTATAACTTTTTTTATTTTTTTCAGATAAAAAAACGCGATTTGGTATATAACGTAAATTAAGATTGATTGACGTATTCAATAATTGTTTTGGTCCTTTCCTGTTTCACCGGAAATGACTACAACTTTTGATTTTTAAATGGCAGCATTTTATTTTCTTTATTTGATACAAAATGACATTCTGAATAGAATGACATATCAATTTTTGACATTTTCACTTAAAAAAATCGTATTTTAAATTTCATCGAAAGTGCCATAGCTGTATTAAAAACATTAATTTTTAATCAAGGAGCTTTGGAAAAATTAGACTTGTTCGTGTATAAATTAGTTATTTAAATTTTAGACTAGTCCGTCTAATGTTTTTCGTGTCTTGTCCTGACTGGCCGGTTAAAAGATTCCCAATTCGTATTTTTAATCAAATCTCAATTTTTTCAAATGGAACGAGGGCGGCTTATTAGCATATTTGGAAAAAGGCATTTTTTACGAAAAATTTGGTACCACACACTTGGTATATCAAGTCAAATTGTCGTTATGAACCACATGTTCCAATTTCAAATAAACCATATGTGAAAATGGCAAAAGTTGACATATGATATTATCAAGACTTTAGTTCGCGGCCATTGCCGGGTGAATGTAATTATATTGTAAACTATTTGACGACGCACATTGGATCAGATTCAGAAAAATCGACGCATAGGGATCAAGAAAAAAATTTCAACAATGATATTATTTTCAACAGATGATGGGTCCGTTTATTCAAATTTATCACGATCCACTTTTTAATCGTAATAAAAAAGCGTACAGGAATGTTGTTTTCGTTAGATTTTGTAGTTTAAATATATCAGTTATTTGCTGATAATGGTTTAGTGTTGCTAATATATTTTGGTTCTTAGGTCAGAGACTTGGAAATAAATTAAATTATAATGGATTTTGAAGACCAAGGTAAGGTACTTTTTAAGAGAATTTTATTAACTTAAATATTTTTTTATGAAGCTAGTAGTTATCTCAAACATAGCAGAGCGTTTTTTTGAAAAAAATTAAACTTTGAAATTGCGTATCTTTAGAACTCCGCAGATCTCCGCTTCTGTATTTTATAATTTTTAAAAGGTATTATACCAAGTTTAATTTACCATCAAGTATCTTACCCCAAGAGACCCCGAGGTAGATGATATTATTATATATATTAGAATTTTAAATTGACCAGTAGTCTGATTTTTGTTTCATGGATAATTTCTTAAATTATTATACTAATATTTGTTGGGTAACTCTGGACTGGTAAAAGTGTAACTATAGAGACTCACATGTTCCTCCTGTACTCTATTCCTTTTATTTTTAGGAACAATAAGCCGCAGATAAATATGTGAGAGGTTTTTGAAAATGGGTTTTAATAATAGGTCAGAAGCGGATATTATTGATGAAATTATTTCATTTTTGTGTAATAATAATATTCCTAACATATTATCGAAAAAAAAGCAAATTGAAAATTTTGTTTAAAAATGGTCAGAAAAGTGGAGGAAATGTAATTATACTTGGAGCAGTTTTATTTCCAACAATTGTCTCTGGCTGGATAAAAATTTACTTCAAATGGAAGAAAATCAATCTTTTCATGACCCTGGCCCTTCAAGAAGATTTTTTTTTTCAGAATTGTCCCAAAAAAATAAAGAGACCAAAGGTATATTGCCAAGGAATTAATTTATAATATCTTACAGAAAAAAAACATGTTTTTTTATCTACATAATGCTGCAAATATTGCAGTATTGCTTTTAATTAATGACAAAGATTAAAAATCAATTTATTTCTAGAAATTAGAGATTCTTACACCTCGGAAGTTCTGCCATATGCTACAGTTTCTAATTTAAGGAAGGAACATAAAAATTAGACGGCAAAAGCAGTCCAACTAGGGTTTGAATTTCCAGAGAAAGTAGTCGCCACTAAAAATAGGTGAAGATTTACCCGCACATGGCACTCATATGGCAACAGAATATTGTCAATCAGATAATGAAGAAGAACTAGAATAAAGTGGTGGTGAATCATGTCATGAAGAAAATGAGTTTGAAGACTCCATTTAACGCATATTGCAATTTATGTTTTTTTTTCTTTAATTTAGACCAGATAACCTAATGGGTATTCTTTTTTTGACTAGGTTCGAAGCATTTTTCAAACCTTCTTAAAAACTATAATTTTTGAATAAAATTCATAGAAAATCCCCCTTTTTTAATATTTTTATACTAAACAAACTTAGTCTGAAATATATTTTGTTTATTCCTTGGACTGTCTTTGTCATGTTAATAAATCCGCCATTAAACCTAATAAGTCTAGAATTTGTAATAAAATTAAAAATATCCTATGCGGCACTTTTCGGCAATCTGAACCACTGTGCGACGTAACCAAGGATAACCACAATGAATAGAAGAATAGAGTGGAGAGACCATGTGGACAGGATGCCAAACAACCGGTTAGCGAAAATTGCTAAGGAGAAAAGACCCAACACGCCTCGACCGCCTGGACGACCACCTATGAGATGGTATGAAAGTTGGCCTTCATCATCCAACTGTTCTTAGGGAACTATTGAAGAAAACACAAGAAGAAAAAGACGAATAGAAGAATATAAAAAGAGTATGCTGAAGAGAGCGGATTTAGTTGAAGAGTTGATAAGTTAATAGTTAATTGAGAAGAGACAGTGAAGAAGCCAGTTAGTCAGTAGACAGTCAGTGAAGACAGCACAGTCAGCATGTCTCCGATATAAGTAATTCAGCATTCTATAAATCTAGTCTTGGTACATTTCCCAATTTTTGTTTCCCACATTTATTTTTGTTGTATATTTTTCCCTAATAAATGAATCTTTTTGTAATAGTTGTTTTAATCTAAAAAGCGAGAACCAGAACTTAAGCGAACCTAGCAAATGCCCCCAAAGCTAGGTCGTTACAATATGTCATTCTATTCAGAGTGTCATTTTCTATCAAATCAAGAAAATAACACCGAAGGTGTCATTTAAAAATCAGAAGTTGTAGTCATTTTCAGTTCAAGTGACCGAATTGAATACGTCAATCAATCCTGGTTTATGTATACCAAATCTTGTTTTTTTACCTGGTAAAATAAAAAAGTTATAGGTGTGAGCCACTTTTATTACTTATTTTAATTTTATTTTTGCTACTTTTTTTATTCCAAAAATAAAGACAGTATTATTAATAATTATCTTCTTTCAAAATGAAATATATTCTTCGTCCATCAACTAGATTAAAACAATATTTTCTATACGAACAGCAAACTAAACTTGTAAACTATTTAATCGTAAAATTTGAATAACGGAATATTTTCCTATACAATATCTACGGGTCAAACATAATGTGACATCTAACATTACATCACATCTTTTATACCGACACTTATAGTACCTAGTTATTGAATCAGAATATCTTAGTATTAATACCAAGTATTCACCATAAACTTGTATAGTATTTATTTAGTTTACTAATTATTATGAGTTACCTCTAGAAATTACATAGCCCAATATGTTAGTTGCTCTAGTGATTCTCACGGTTATTTCATTAAATGGGTTATGGGCCCTACCCAATAAACCCAACCCTTCGATAATTATTGTTGGAACTGGCCCATCTGGAATTGCAGCTGCCACAAGGCTCTTAAAAAATGATTATAACAATATAGTTATTTTGGAAGCGGAAAATCGCATTGGTAAGTAATGATATTGCACACACTTCTCATTATATTTTAAAAACTCTAATTATTTAAGAAAAAAATTATTTATAATTTTAGACAAAGCCCGTTAAGAAAAAAAATACTCTCCAATAAACCTCATTAATAGCAAAGTGAACCTAGACTTAAAGTGATATAAAATAAAATATAATAATTATAAGGACTACTTTTTTGTTTACAACAACTGTCCAATTTATAATACGGAATCCCAATCTATAATATTTTCTTTTTCAACATATTAGGTGGTAGAATAAACAGTGTAAAGTTTGGAGATGCCTATGTTGATCTTGGAGCAGAGTTTTGTCACGGTCAAGATGATAACATTGTTTACTCCCTGGTCAAAGATTTGGGAATTCTTCAGCCTCACACCTCTCAAGTAACTGCTTACACATCAAATGGAGAGATCGTTTCGAATACTTTGGCAAAAAAGATATTACAACTGGAAGAATTCCTAGAAGCTACAGACACTTCTCCAAGTCAATGTGATAATGCCCAATCTGTTGAGGAATGTCTGGATGTTCAGTAATATACAGTTTTCTATTTTAATTATAATGTTAATTAGTAATTAATTTCAGTTTTAAGTATCTTGCAAAAACAGGCATAGTAACCAAAGAAAGTGAGATCGTCATAAACTCCTATGATTGGGTAAAAAACCAACTATGTTTAATGGACTCACCTTTTGATCTGAACGATCTAAACATAACTTCTGCTTATAAGAAATGTAAAGGGGACTTAGGTCTCAACTGGAATGGATTAGGCTATAAAACTATTCTGCAAGTTTTAATGCAAAAATATCCTAATCCTGATAACCAGTTACCGATTGACGACAAGATCTTCCTCCAGAAAGATGTCGTTAAAGTCACGAATTGGCAACAAGGAAAGGTTACAGTAGTAACCAAGGATGGTACTAGATATAAAGCTGATCATGTGATATTAACTCCATCTGTAGGTGTACTCAAATCAAATTACAGAAGCCTTTTCAATCCGCCTTTGCCAAAAGAAAAGATACAAGCAATTGAGAATATCGGTTTTGGGGCAATTTTAAAAATCATGTTACATTTTCCTGACAAATGGTGGGATAATAATACTGATTGGGTTCTAATGTGGACTCCTGAACACAAAAAGAATCTTACTGCGGTAAGATATACTCAGTCCAGCAATATTTATACATATTTATTTATACAATTTATCAATTTTAGGAAAATTTGGATTGGTTAAATGCATTAACAGGTACAATAACAGCTGAAAACAATCCCAATGTTCTTATTTCCTGGTATGGTGGAAAATATGTTCCAGAAATAGAGGCTCTCTCTAAAAGTGAAGTGGAAAGAGGAATAAACTATTTTCTAACTGCTTTCTTTTCATCGAGTTATAACGTTACATTTCCGGATGAAATACTAAGGTAACTATTAAGTGATGTCTCCTCGGAGGTCAAAACCCAACATCAAAGGTCTTAACTATGTGCCTGTTAGTAATGTAACGAATACATATTCGCCATTTGCCTTCGTATCTGCGAATATTCAAAAAATATATATAAAATGTAAATAATAACGGGTAAATTAAACAAAGAAATATGTATTTTCAATAATGTTGAACTTAACATAGTATTACATTTATATTAATTGTAATTATATTAATTATTGTAATCAGCGTTCACTTTTTGGTATTAGTTTGGTTTCGTTATTATGAGTTATTATTAATAACCAACTTTTTGTTAGAAATTACCAAACAAAAAATAAGTATATTCTCCTTTCATATTTTTATCACTTTTTCTTTTTACATATACTTTCTTTTATTTTGAATTGAAAAATCTAAAAATAATTATCTTGTTTATCAGACTAAGGCAATAATAAACAAAACTAAAGAAAGCTTATTTTTAGCAAAAAAAAAACATTACCCCACATATTTCTATTTTTTATCTAACGTATTATTCTTTTAAATTTTTGTCATCTTTACATAAATCTATTTCTATTAGGACTAAAAATCTATTTTAAGCTCGATTTTAAGTCAAAATAAAGTCTTAATTTTTTTACTTAAAATAATAATCTACTTTCATAAATAAAAATACTAATAATAATAGCAAACAAGATATTCCACAATTAAACCTTTTTATAAATCGCACTTTTGAGGTCGCACCACTCTGGCACTTTGTGTCTTTGTATCGATTTTTTAATCGCGGTACGATCCCTTTAGACACACATTTATTAAGAATAGTTATTAATCTGTAAATAATAATAACAGCTCGCGTGGTTTTGCTAGTTCCATACCGGGCGCCTCCCCAGGTAGCGGATAGGGGCAAGCCTCCCAGATATGGGTGGTACCGGAGAAATGACGTCTACAGATCTGCACGTTTCTCGATATTTCATTTTTCCAATAATTCGTATTAATCTTTTTTGAACTAGGAACACAAGTAGTAAACACTAGTAAAACTTAATGGGGTCTAATAAAACTAAGTTGAATTTGAATTATAAATCAAATAAAATTAAAAATGTATTTTATATTCAAACTTTTTATTTTTAATTATGATATTGATAATATTTTATACTTATAATAACTCTTTAACAACAAGTTAATATTGACATTCGCATATCGGCAGCAGATATTCGCATTCGCATTGGCATTTACGAGTGTTTAAAAATAGAATGTCACTAGTGACTATGAGCCCCGCCTGTGGTGAAATATTGGGGCCCATTTGAAGGAACCCCCACCAAAAAAAAGGGGTTCTTGAGGTTCTAATGAGGTTCTGAAGGTTCTAATAATAGAACTTATTTTGTGTAGTCCTTTCAGATGGCTTTATCTCCACTGATCAGATCATGTCAGTTCCCCAAATGATTAAATGAATACTTACAATATATGTAGCTACATACCAACATATTTTATTTTAGAACAAATTGGTACTCAAACCCACACTTCAACGGAACGTATTCATACGAATCTGTCAAAGGGTATTTGGCAGCTGGAAGTAGATTGCCAGATAAGCTAGCCGCACCTTTACTAAGGAACGACAACACGCCATCTATACTGTTTGCTGGTGAAGCTACGCATCCTTATTACTTTTCTACAGTACATGGAGCTATAGAGACTGGTTACAGGGAAGCAGAGAGATTGATAAATATTTATAAAAAGTAGATTTGAACATCAACTGAACATTACAGACATGTATTATGTATAACTATAAATACCTTGTTTTGTGTCTTAACGAAATAAAAATTTTATTTCAATATATTTTTAATAATCAGATATCATAGTATATTTATTTGGCTAGGTGTAAGGATGCGTTTATGTTGGAGCTGCTATAAACGATAAAAGCAGTGATAAAAGCAACGACAAGAGCTGTGCAAAATTCACTTCTATAATGTGCCGTTCATAGTGGAGCTGTGATAGTAACGGCGATTTCTGCTTTGCAAGTAGACGTTGAGACCAAATCAATCGACTGAAAATATATTTGTTTAAAATGTATTGTATGTAATTTGTTTTAAATGTGATTCCGAAAATGAATTATTTTTAGCTTCAAATGTTGTTAAATATAATATTGTTAAAACTGCAGATAAAAAACTCAAATTCTGTGCACACCTAATAAATACCAGAAGGTACAAATTTGGAGAATTTCACAATTTCAATCTATTATGATGGTTTTATTTGTTTGGTCCCACAAGGCAGGTCTAATAAATATTTCACTTATTAAATTATCGGTATCCATGTCGATCACTCTTGATATAAAAGCAAAGAAAACAGCCAATCCAATTAGCGCTGCTCTTATCGTTGCTCAACTGCAAAGCGTGTCTCGACGCGTTGCTCCAATATAAACACCTACATATAAATTAATATAATAATATTCTTTGCTTTGCTACTATCGCTGCTCTTATCGTTTATCGCCTCTCCAACATAAACGCACCCTAATATACTACTTAATATCCGTGTGTTACATCGTCGACCTTAACATAGGAAATTCATGTAAATATTCAAAATGATCAATAAGTTTTTCCCATTTTATTTTACAGAAAATTTTATTTAAAACTTTCTAAAGAAATCCTTAAAATGAAACAATTTGTATATTTTGGGTAATTTATACGAATTCGTTTTTGAATTTGAGAAATACAAGAATACTCGCGGAAAATTCAAAATAATTCGGTGCTGGTTAAACAAACATAAGAATCACAAGTTATGTTACAATATGACAAATCTATTATAATTTTCTTCTAGGGAGATCTGTCAAAAATATCTGTCTGTTAAAAATTGAATTTGAAGGTGGCATATGTTTATTATTCCTATCAGGACCGCATTATTCCTTCAGTTAATTGAGAATTGTTGAATCTTTAATAACTCCAAAAGAAAATTGTAGAAACTATTGAAAATAAACAATTTGCTCCATTTTAAGGAGTTCTTTAAAAAGTTTCCAATATTTTATTATTATATTTTATTATATATTTAATAGTATTTTTTTCTGCATAAAAAATAAATTCATAATTTTTAAAATTTACATGGGATTTCCTATGTTCAGGTCGGCGCACAGTGTAACGAGCCTGTGTTAACCTTTTGACATTTGACAAATAAGAATAATGGTTCATCTCTCCAAAAAAATCCTTTATGGGTATTTTGCCACTGCACTGCAAAGAAATCTACAAAATAAAATAGTTATTTTTTGTAAACACTTCTGGCGTTAAACCTAATTTGACACGGCTTGTCAGAAGTTATGTTTACAGTTATACAAATTTGCCTAACAAAGAAAAAAATGCTTAACGTTTCGGAACGTTTATCTCTTTCCGTCGTCAGAAGCAAAAAAAATACAAAGAATAAAGAAAAAACTATTTAAAATATTTAAATTCAACTATTCGAGAACACTTTACTTATTTAAAACAGATACGTCTACAAGAAACCGTTGACGTTCTGTTAAAAATGATTTTTAACAGAACGTTAGGATTTTTTTGGAGATATGAATGATGAATCCGCCACATAAGTATAGACATTTTTTAATAATGGTTCAGTATTAATATTTACGTAATTTTGAAATATATATCTGCATACTTTATTTATTTACTTTAAAAATGTGCGATAGTAACATGTTGTCAAGAGTTGAAAGTTAGGTGTTTTGTTTTAGGAATTCATTTGAGACAGTTTATATTCTATTTTGAAATTAAATATAACTCCATGGTTAAAATAACATTGTGGAAGATTAATTTGCGTTAACTTCAAGATGCATAGATTGTTTGACGTTTACACTATGATATAATTGATCCAAACAGGCTATATCTGCTCATAATAACAAATATATCCACATATTAAATGCATAATAAAATGCTGACCCAGTCTGCTTCCTTTAAAGAAAATAACTAGAAATTATTTAAAACATATTATTTTTAATTGTAAACTAATAATTTCTAATAACTATGATAATTTATCGAAACACTGGCACTGGCGGAAAGAAAACAATTGCAAGTATTATACAAAACAAATATTATAGTTTTTCCAAACTTTGGTGAAAAGAAAACCATAGCAGGTAATAAAGAAGGAGGTGACTCCGCTGCCGGCGCTGGTTTCCAAAATTCGGTAGCACGAATGCCGGCTTCGGAAACTTCCCGCCAGAGACTAACCAACGCTAAACAAATGTAAATTAGTAAAAACCAAACCAACCAAACCAACCCCGCCAAATAGCTAACCTAACCAACGCAATCAACCCCACCAAATAACCAACTTAAACAACGCAACTAACACAACCAAATAATCAATCCTTTGAAATCAATCTAATATCTAACCCCACCAAAAAGAGTGAAACCAACGCAATCCGTATTTTGATTGCTATTAAATATTTACAGCTTTTTTTAAAAAATAAAAACAGCTGTAAAAAAAAATAAAAAAAGTTTTTGTCCGGCGTGAGATTTGAACCTCGGACCTACCGTTCACGCCGTTCACGATTGTTGAACCTATCGTTCACGCTCTTGCAAAAGTGGCTATCAGGTGTTACTCTCCGCCGTTCTTTCAGCCGTCAATGGAATCGGAGCCGGCAACCATTATGGTTTGGTTGGAGTCACTTTCAACAAAGAAACCCAATATTTTTAAAGAAAAATCTCCATACACTAAATGCACTAAAGAACAAGTTGTTCCAGTCTGCCCGCCCTAAAAAATAGCTAGGAAATATTTAAACACATTTTTTTTTCTATTCGGAATAAGTGGTATTTATTTAAAGTCTAACAAAAAATTGCTCTAACCTTCCCCAATCCCCTAAAAGAAATTTTGAAAAATAATAAATCATGCTCATCACTTTTAAACTACGCAGTGTTGCAAATTGCAGACAGATTTAAGTTGTAAGACCATTTCTGTATTCATTTAAGTTTTTCTACACACATAAATGGTGATTTTTTAAAAGTGTTTTTTTTAATTGTGCCACTTGCTTAACCTAAAATGGTTAAAATTAGCAATTAGAACCAATTTCCACCATTTTCACCATTTTGTGTCCACCACCAGTCCACCATTTTGAATCTGCCATCTTGTTTTTATGAGAAAATTTACTAAATTAAACAACAGCATTGTACAAATGTCAAATTGAGAGTCAATTGAAAAAGACTATTAGAAAAAAAAAATATTAGAAAATTTGTGGCATATAATACTTTATCAAAAGTTCATGTTCAATAAAATATTTTAGAATCCAGAAAATCTATAAAAACAATTAGAGTTTACTGTAATTTCATATTTAAAGTATATTTAATAATTTTAATCGAATAAAATATTCCTTAACAAAGTATTCATAAAAATATCATTTAATATGTAAAATAATCTGCAAGCTGCGAGTTCAATGGTTTTTAAACAATAACAGCAAACTAAAATTTACGTATAATACTATTAATACTTCATTTACGGTAATTTAATATCAATTTACTATCACTGCAAGATATAACTATGTTAAATATTGGCTCTATCATCATTCATTTAATTAATGACACATAAAGAAATTAAACCGACACTTTGTTAGAAAATATGGAAAACTTGAACATATTGGTATTATCACAGGATACACGAGCCATAGGTGTTCCTAAACAGTTTCATTTCACCCAAAAAAATCTTCGATGAAAGCCATTACCGTAAATATAATAATTTATCTTTTTTTGTGTTAGAACTGTTTGCTATTTAAACAATATATTTGTCATTTGTTGTTATCACTCTCAATATAGATATAAAATCAAAGCCTCTGACAAGTGCTACGCCAATGCTATAGGTCAATTGATTTAGAATTTAACACTTTTATCGAAGTATTTATAAAAAGAGTTCCTTCACTCATTGTTATTCGTATTATTTAGTCTTCGGTATGTTTTGTTTATTGGTGGTTCTGGCGGTGCTGGCGTTGGATAGGTCAGGAGCTGTACTTGGTACCTCTAGCCCTGCCATTGTTATCGTTGGAAGCGGTCCATCCGGTATAGCAGCCGCTACAAAACTTTTAAAACATAATTTTACAGATATAATAATCCTAGAAGCCGAAAATCGTATAGGTATGTATTAATATATACATGTGTAAGTTTAGTTATATTTTATATACAGGGTGGTCCCCGAACTCTATTCCGGATACTTCGGTAGCACATTCTGCAGACAAAAATAAGTAAAAAAAAGTTCTTATAATTGCATATCCTAAAATGGTTTAGTTTCGGAGATACAGAGTGTAGAAGTTTCATTTTTATTTCGATTTTTTCCAAATGATTTCTGAAGTAATGTCAATATTTGGATGAAAATTGATGTCTGGGAGTTTTTTGATATAAGAAATTTGATTTTGATGTCAATATGAATCCTAGTGAGCGAGCGCCACCTACATGTGTTAACTGTTTTGAAGAGAAATAACTTTTCGTCCATACCTGTATAAAACTACCGAGTAAAAAAATATACATTTACAACATTTCTTACGTAAAAAAGATCTCTTGGTAAAAATCGCTACGAGCTCTCGTAATATTTTCAATCGAAATTATCAATACCTGTCATAATAAATTGACATAAATTAGACATGTTGACTAAATAGTTATTAGGCTGAAATCAGAAATTTGAATGTTTTTGTGCTACACACCTACAGTTGTAGTCTAGAATCTGTCTTATCGGATTTTTTTCGAAGAAAATTTATGATTAATTTAAAAAATAAAGAGTTTCAAAATTTATCATTTCAATCAAAGAACTATCTACTGAACATGTTTATTTTTTGTCAATAATGACATATGTATTGACAATTTTCATTCTAAATATCTTGAGTTAGAAGTTGCTGGTAGCGATTTTTACCAGAGATATTTTTTACGTAAAAAAGCATGGAAATATATATTTTCACTCAGTAGTTTTATACAGGTGCGGACGAAAATTTATTACTCTTCAAAACAGTTAAAACACATGTAGGTGGCGCCCCCTACAAATAGGAGTCATATTTATATCAAAATCAAATTTCTTATATCAAAAAACTCCCAGACACCAATTGTTATCCAAATACTGACGTTACTTCAGAAATTATATTATATTGATTTAAGTCTTTAGGAATATATTACTCGACTTGAAAGAAAATGACTTAAGATTTAAATCATTTAAACTTTATGTTGAAATTGACTTCAGATTTAAGTCTGTTTGAAACTGACTTGTTGCTATTAACAGACATATTTAATTTATTAGGTGGAAGAATACATAGCATCCAGTTAGGGGATGCATATGTCGATTTAGGAGCACAATTCTGTCATGGAGAGGAAAATAATATTGTTTATTCGATGGTAAAAGATCTGGAGATCCTAAAACATTCAAATCAGAGCGTTCGATATGTTAGATCCAACGGAGAAATAGTCGACAAGGCCATAACAGAAAAGATTAGAAAATTCCAGAAATCTTTGGAAGCGTCTGAAGATGGTAAAAATGGATGCGGAGATGTCAGCTCAGTGGGAGAGTGTTTAAAAATACAGTAAGCTTTTACACATCCAGTTGGTCTTCTTCAGTAAATTTAAAACTTAGAGATTCCAGGCACCAGGCACTCAAAAAACAATAAAACATACAGGGTGTTTCAATAAACATGTGCCATCTGTCCTGGGGATATTCCTCACGTAACGTAAAAATAAGATTTTTTCACATAGCTCGATTCTGCTTTGTTTCGTAGGCTACAGGGGGTTAAGGTATTCAAAACATGTGCGCCACTGACATGTTTTCTCTTGTTTAGCTCCGCCTTAAAATACCGTATGATAAAAAAGACGGCGTCCAGTTGGCTTGGAAATGACTATCGATAACATTCCCCATATTATAGTTTCACATATAAAATGACAGCGATCTTCATTCTTCATTTCACAGCCATCGCTGAGGCCGTTTTTTTTCAATTATATTGTACTTTCAGAATAGGCTGAGTACAATATGATCGAAAAAAAACGGAATCGGCGATGGTTATGAAATGAAGATCGCTCTCATTTTAAATGTAAAATTATATAGGGAATGTTATCGATAGTCATAGCCAAACCAACTGACGCCGTTTTTTTTCGGTCATACAGTATATATATCAGTATGCTAACTGTCCCGTCATGATCCCATCAGTATTTACCCTCACACACTCAATATTATTGACAATTTTTGTAAATACTGTAAATAATTTATAGAGTTTGTTCATTTTCACGATGGCCCTTGGTAAAAAAACTTAATGTTAAAATTAAAAACAAAGTCCAAGCCACTGTCAAAAATTTCTTTATTAGTGACCGGTTTCGGCAATTCCAGCCATCATCAGACGTTTGTCAAAAACGGCTTGTTCGTTTAATTTTATACAGGGTGGTCCGAACTGTATTCCGGAAACATCGACTGCATATTCTGCAGATAAAAATGAGTAAAAAAGTTCCTATAAAGGTATGTCCTAAAATGCTTAGTTTCGGAGATACAGGGTGTAGAAGTTTCATTTTTATTTCGATTTTTTCCAAATAATTTCTGAAGTAACGTCAATATTTGGATGAAAATTGGTGTCTGGGAGTTTTGCGACACGAGAAATTTGATTTTGATGTCAAAATCTGTAGGGGGCGCCACCTACATGTGTTTTAACTGTTTTGAAGAGTAATAACATTTTGTCCGTACCTGTATAAAACTATTAGCTGGAAAAATATACATTTCCATGACTTTTTACGTAAAAAATGTCTCTTGGTAAAAATCGCTACGATCAACCGTTCTGAAGATATTTAGAATGGAAATAATCAATACATGTCATTATTGACAAAACTATGCACACGTTAAGTATAGTTATTTGATTGAAATAATAAATTGTTATTTTTTTAAATTAATCATAAATTTTTCTGCAAAAAAATGATGATTAAACAGTTTCTGTTGAACTTTTGGTACAAACAGATTTCAAATTTATGATTTCAGTCTAATAACTATTTAGACAACATGTTTAATTTATGTCAATGATGACTGGCATTCATAATTTCGATTCCAAATATGTCGAGAACCAGTACTCGTAGCGATTTTTACCAAGAGATCTTTTTTATGTAAAAAAAGTCGTAAATGTATATTTTTTTAATCAGTAGTCTTATACAGATATGGACGAAAAGTTATTAGTCTTCAAACCAGTTAACAAATATGTAGGTGGCGCCCTCTATAAGTAGGAGTCATATTGACATGAAAATTAAATTTCTCACGTCAAAAAACTGCCAGACACCAATTTTTATCCAAATACTGACGTTACTTCAGAAATTATTACGAAAAAATCGAAATAAAAATGAAACTTCTACACCCTGTATCTCCACAACTAAGCATTTTAGGACATACATCTATACGAACTTTTTTTCTTATTTTAATCTGTAGAATATGCCGCCGAAGTTTCCGGAAGACAGTTCGAACCACCCTGTATATAAAATAAATTGCATACCTACGACCAGTGGTGTAGCAAGGCGGGGTCAGAGGGGGCGGTCCGCCCCGGGCGGAAGCCCTCCGAATACCTGCGGGCGACAAAAAATTGTTATAAAGGCGGCGGATGGATTCTGTAGGGGCGGCAAAACTTCTTTCTAGAGGCTCTCCGCCCCGGGCGCCCCTAAATCACGCTACGCCACTGCCTACGACAATACAACAGAAATTCGCACCGTACCAAAAACACACAGGGAGATCATCAATACATCTCTGCTGGTTGGAATTGCCGAAACCGGTCACTAATAAAAATAGTTTTGACAGTGGTTTGGGACTTTGTTTTTGATTTTAACATTAAGTTTTTTACTGTCAATAATATTGATCGTTTGAGGCACCCTTTAAAGTAAATTTACACGAGTGAAGTCAATTGATCACGTCACTTGAATTCAACTGACTTGAATGCACATACCGAGTTTACACACTTCGTGTCAAAAAGGTTCTGTTAGTTGATTCAAAATGCGACAATGCGTAAGGCTGTACTACAAACTGCCAAAAAGAAAGTTTATTACGTAAAAAAACAAGACGTAAAAGAAGAATATATCTCAAAAATGGATTAGCCGCTGAACTACTTATAGAGTAAGATCCCAGAACGATCAGACATAACTTATTTGCACAAGGATGAAACCTTAGGCTCTCAGCAGTGCTCTCATGTGCTTTGAACACCGGCGTGTTTGTGCGGGGTTCGCCCTGTGACACCATGGCAAATACCAGGTGAGAAAGGTAACTAACAGAAATAAATGAACTTTACTTATTTTTACATGTCTGATTTTTACATATTATGTTATTAAAACAGCTATTATAAAGTTATATTTAATCAGTCAGACAGATTATAATAACCAAACATCCTCTAGTGACTATGAGCGCGGGAAAATTATGCGTTTCAGAGTAAAGTATTCAAATATACACTTTGCTTTCGATTTGATATTTTTGCATCTCTATTTAAATAAATAAGATTAGTTGTAAAAGTGAAAACAATACATACTTATGGAGCCGATCGGCAGACTATTTGAGTGATGCTCGGCTCCATAAGAATTATATTGATTACAATTCTGCAACTACATAATCGGCCGACTAAGAATTGTATATCACCCCAGGCTTATTTTCCAATATTTCCTTTTACAATATCCAAACTATTTAAAAATGTATGTCAGAGAATTCATGGTGTCTTGTTTTTCAAATTAATATTTTTTTAGAAAATATGCGATAATTGTTTTGAGTAGTTTATATGCAATAAATTAATTTACTTTAATAATTATTAATTATTACTTTAATAAAACAGCTCATCTTATTTAAATAAAGATGCAAAAATATTAAATCGAAAGCAGTATTTTAAAAATATTTTTAAATACTTTACTCGGAAACTCATAGTTCTCCCGCGCTCATAGTAACGACTGAATATTTTTTGTGTTTAGAGGATGTTTGGTCATTACAATCTGTCTGAATGATTAAATATAACTTTATAATAGTTGTCTTAATAACATATGTAAAAATAAGTAAAATTCATTTATTTCTTTTAGTTACCTTTCTCACCTGGTATCTGCCAAGGTGTCACAGGGCGAACCCCACAAACACGCCGGTGTTCAAAGCACATGAGAGCACTACTGAGAGCCTAGGTTTTTTCCTTGTGGGATTGGACTACTAGGATCTTGGACTAATGGTGCGTCTAATACTTTATTATCTGAGGTTAGAAGATCCTAGAATTTATAAAAAATGTAAGGGTGGATGCAAACCAATTTAAGTTTTTATTGGGAAAAGTTGCACATATAGTTAAAAAGACACATTAATGCGTACCTAATGCTATTTCTCCTCGACTTAAGCTAGAAGTTACCCTTCTTTCCCTAATTTTGAATTCTGGACTCTCTTGTGTTCCATAGACACTCGTATTTTTCATATAAGCTAACAAATTTTACAGAACTTTCTTGCGACCATCTATTTGCCGCCATTTTAAAAACACCACTTCTTGAATGTCAAAAGTTAAACAATAGTCAACTGAAACTTGAATCAACTCACTTGATCAATTAACATAATTCGTCGAGTTTAGACGGTCAGATTGCATTCATGGCAATTGAATTCAAGTGAATTGATCAAGTACTAGTGTAGACTAGTGTAGACGCACCTTAAATTAAAAAATTTCTTGAACAAGCGGATTGTTACTTTGACCATTAAATATATTCTGATGTAATTTCCCATAAGAATTGTTTATCTGTTATCATATGCCCGCCATATATTTTTTGAATACCATCTGAACTTGATCATAGAACGTTTTGATCATATTGTATATTTTATCTTTTCAGAACCTCTCTATTTACGAAAACCATCACAGATCACAAGGAATCCGAAATAATTCAAGATTCTTATGACTGGATGAAAAACCACCTAGCTTGTCTAGATTCTCCCCTGGACTTGTGCGACCTAACGCTAATTTCCGCCTATAAAAAATGCGATGGCGACCTAGGCCTGAACTGGAACGGATTAGGATACAGAACAATCCTAGATATCATGATGCAAAAATACCCTAATCCTGATAACCAGTTACCGATTGACAATAATATTTTACTACAAAAACAAGTGGTAAAAATCAACAACTGGAACCAAAATGGAAAAATGGTTATTGTTACGGCAGACGGTGATAGGTATAAAGCAGATCATGTAATTCTGACACCGTCAGTTGGCGTTTTAAAGGCAAAGTACAAGAGTCTGTTTAATCCAGCTTTGCCTGAGGATAAAGTAAAGGCGATAAAAAATATCGGTTTTGGGGCTACTGTCAAAGTAGTCATGCATTTTCCGGTAAAATGGTGGGATGGCAACGCCGATTGGCCTTTCATATGGACAGCAGAAGACAAGAAAAAACTTAAACAGGTTTGATAATTATTTTTCTATTATTATTTGTCAATTCTTAGTGCAACCCAATCCATTAATTAAAATAATAAAAAAGAAGTATATCAACAAACCTGACGAAACTGCAAAGGGGTTTTAATATGGTGAACTTGATTTCCGATGAATATGGTGAACTGGCATTTCTTTTAAGATTTTTGAATGTGAAGTAAGGTACACATAATAATTTTCTGGTTGTTCAGAGAGGTTGAGACTGAAAAAAATAAAATATAATGAAGTAAAATAGATATGTGTTTGCTTTTAGGAAAATCTAGATTGGTTATCAACAATATCCAGTACGGTTCAAGGAGAAAACAATGAAAAAGTTATTATTTCTTGGTTTGCTGGAAAATACGTCCCTCAAATTGAAAATCTGTCAGAAGTTGAACTACGTAGAGGCTTGGAACGTCTTCTGATGTCATTTTTTTCGGCAAAATACAATGTGACACTACCTGACACAATCATAAAGTAAGTATAATTAAGTGATGAGCAAATGCAAGACTCTCTCGGTCTTGGTCTTGCAGGGTCCAGTCTTGGAGATGGTCTTGCTGCAAGACTCTTGGTTTTTTCCAGAGGCACTTTCTACATAGAAAATCTTTAAATAAATAGTTTTAAGTAATTTAATGCAAATGAAACTTAAAAAAAAATTAATAAAGAAACAATATTTGTCTGGTTTTTTGAATACCGGGGTGCATCTCAAAAGTGGCTCAACCCCGTAACTTTTGTATTTTTTCAGATAAAAAAACGAGATTTAGTATATTGGTATATGACATAAATTAGAATTGATTGACGTATTCAATTGTTTTTGGTCATTTCCTGTTTCGCCGGAAATGACTACAACTTTTAATTTTTAAATGGCACCCTCGGTATATTTCTACTTTATTCTATAGAAAATGACACTCTGAATAGAATGACATATCATATTCCAACTTTTGACATTTTCGAATATGGTTTATTGGAAATTGTAACATGCAGTTCATAACGACAATTTGAGTCGAAATACCAAGTGTGTAGTACCAAATTATTTGTAAATAAAATGCTTTTTCCGGATATGCTAATGAGCCACCCTTGTTCCATTTAAAAAAATTGAGATATGATTAATAATACGATTTGGGCATCTTTTAACCGGCCAGGATAAGACACGAAAAACATTAGACGATCAAAACTATTTTACCAAGGCTCCTTGATTAAAAATTAGTGTTTTTAACACAGCCATGGCATTATGGATTGAAATTTAAATTACGATTTTTTTTTAAGCGAAAATGTCAAAAGTTGACATATGATACGTCATTTTATTGAGTGTCATTTTCTATCGAATAATGTAGAATGTTGTAGTCATTTCCGGTGAAACGGAAAATGACCAAAAACAATTGAGTACGTCAATCAATCCGAATTTATGTCATATACTAACATACCAAATCTTTTTTTCACCTGAAAAAATAAAAGTTATAGGGGTGAGCCACTTTCGAGACGCACCCAGTATTTATATATTAAATCTGTATAGGTTCCTTTAAAATTGTATGCAAAAGTCAGGAAAACACTATTTGCAATAAATTAAAACAATAATTTGGAATAAATAAGTCACTTTCTATTACTCCATGTAGCGCAAGATCGAGAACGATACAGAGATAGATATTGTTAACATGGCAGTCGTCAACGTTCACTAGGAACATGACACTTGAAGAAGAAGAAGTCACTTTTTATATCACATTTATTTATTTGAATGGTTCAAAAAACATGAGCGCCTAACATTTAATATTCGGTGTGTTTCGACAAAAAAGCTTTTTATAAGAATATATCATACGTCATATTGCCGAATGTGGTGTATGGCATAATATAGCATACGGCTATCATTAATCACATATTTACTGGGAATTATTTCGGAGGAATAATTTTTTATTATTTTTTTAAATAGATAAAAATTTCGTTATTTACTTGTTTTTAATTATCATCTATGAAAAATGATATGTAAATAAAAAATGTAAAAATTGCAAGACCGCAAGAATCCTCCGTAAGTCTTGCACTTGTAAGGCTAAGAACATAGTGGAGTAAGTGCAGCGACGAGGCTAGCGGCGATCAAACAGCGCGACATCAGGTCAAAAAACAAACCTGTGAAGACAAGTACGTGTGAACATAGTAAGGCGATCTGCTCGAGAGCGAGCGACCGGTTAGATCGAGCGGCGAGATCGATTCAAATAATTTTGTTTTCGTCGCTCTGTCATGTCGCGCTGTAGAAAATGATGGATTCCCAAAAATTAATATATTTAGTATTTGTAAGAGAGATTTTATGGAATCAGAAAGATAGTAATCGCCATAACCTTTACATTTTAGATAAGTTATGAGATGAAGTCCCAACAAATTTTCGTAAACTCCGGTTTTTGAAAATTTCATGTTCACTACACCTTCTAGTTTATTGGTTTCGATCAAGTTTAGATAAATTATGAGAATAAGTGGCAAATAATTTTCGTAAAGGTTATAAAACTTGCCACACTCTCTCCGGTTTTTGAAAACGGTTTCGAATCAACCAAATGTTTGCGACGGCAAGTCCAACACCAGTCTCGCTCATCACTAGTAAAATTATTAGAATTCTTATAGATCTCGTAATATCAAAAAATTTTATGATCAAGTTTGACAGTTAAAGAAATTCTACTGTAATTTTTTCATAATTGTTTATCCAAATCAAGCAAAATTGTTTGATACATCAAAAAAAAATCAACTAATTATATTTTCTAACTTTCAGAACGAACTGGTACTCAAATCCACACTTCAGAGGCACATACTCCTACGAGTCGGTAAAGGGCCACTTAATAGCCGGAGATAAGCTACCAGATAAGTTAGCTGTGCCGTTAGTAAAGGCAGATGGAACGCCATCTGTGTTGTTCGCCGGGGAAGCTACTCACCCGTACTATTTCTCAACCGTCCATGGAGCTATTGAGAGTGGCTACAGGGAGGCAGATAGATTAATTCGTTTTTATAATATTAAATAAAATGTTTTTAATATGTATTAATAAAAAGATAAATTTAAGAATACTGTGTTTCAAGTTCAACTCTATTTGTAATTATTTTTATCATCATAAACTTATTTAAAAACCTCTCTATAACTAAATAAAATTAAAAACATGTTTGAAAAATAAAATGTAATCATCGTGGTTATCAGGCTACAAGAAAAGTTATAAAAAAGAAAGATAAGACTACTGAAAAATAGATTTCCTCAAATCACCAAAACGGTACGATACGATCACAAAGTTGTACATATGATAAGGATATGATCAAGTGGGCTTTGTTTTTTGATAATTTAAAAAAATCTAAGGTACCTCCCTAACTTTGTCCAACGACAGAAGTGACAGCCATTTCGACAGAACACATGGCAAAAAATGGCAGAAAGAAAAAATGAACATACTATAATTTCATATAAGAATTGCAGAGACGTCCACTCTATTTTTTAGCTGTTTACTAAACAGAGGAACGTTAATATATAGAAGTATTAAACAAATTAATTGCAAGATATTACAATCTCAATATAAATAAGCGTCAAATATTTTCAACCAGGAATCAATATTTTTAAAAATAATTTACAATCTATAGTGACGGAATTTTTTTATTAAATACGGCTACGAGTATTGACCGCATTTTTATCATGTTTTCTTTAGGAATCAGAAATATTCGGTTCTTCTGAATGCAGCAGTATTTTTTAAGTAATAATTTTGATAGCTCTCAATCTTGTGATATTTTTAAATATTGCGATGGTCATTAACACTTACAGCAAAATAAAAACATTAAATTTCTACTTGATAAAAAATTACTTTTATGTTTAAGAAACGAAAAACAAATAAAAGCAGTTCAACGCATTGTAATTATTTATTAAAACCTGAACTAAATTTTTGATGATCTAGTAAAATTGTCCTGTACTTAGCAACTCTTGCCAAATTTGGCGCAAACAAAAATATTTTAATTATCTAAAATTAAGATAAATTGAAAAAAAAATCATATATCTAATATACCTAACCCTTTATTTACAAAAAAATGAACAAATATATAATAAAACATATTTAACATCAGTTTAAAGCTGACAAAGATACACTTTTTTCTAGAAAATAAAATATAACAGATACAAAATTGACTTTGAATTTATGTCGCTAATTTTTGTTACGTTATCTAGGTGATATAAAAACATTTAATTTATAGATTTGACTAATAAAAATTATAAATATTAATAGAAATAATTTATCTTATCATTATATTATGTTAAAATTTATATAGATCACCTAGATTAGTTAAAAGTAAAGGTTTTATAAAGAAATATACATCATAAACATTTACACATAATTTCTATTATTTTCTTTTATTCAAAACTAAAAGTTATCACAAAGGAATAGTTGTCGTCATTCAATGGTTGGCGAAATAGTTGAGCATGTTGCCAAGAAGTGTCGCCTTTACCTCCAGACAGACTTGCTGTTAAACTAATATTGCTACTGCCAGCAAATGCACTTGTTTTAAACGCATTTGCCTCTGAAATGAATACAAAATGAGATACAGAACAATTTGCCATACCTATTTGAAGAAAAAACACTGCCATACATATTTGAAAAAAGAATTAAGACTAAAAGTTGCCCTCTCTAATCGAGTGTGCGAAATGCTAGACCGAGCGCATTTTAAGAAGATGCCAGGAGCATCATCAACAGTTTGCTGGTGAACGCCTTCTCGTCCTATGTCCATAGCGTCCTATGTCCATGTCCGGCTTACCGTTTTCCGTTGGCCAGCTTATATCGCGGCAGGTCTTATCGCTTTGTGAAACTGCGCCACTGAAGCAGTTAGTGGCCATTAACAACCGCTTGCAGGAAGCGGGAATATCATTTGGCATCATGAAGTTATCCCGTGAGCTATCTACACTCATGGACAAAATTATCGAATATTTTTTGTTATCACTATTACTCGAACAAGATTCTATATGATCGTTGTAAATTAATAAATTTGCTAATGTTATTCGTCTAGTAGGCGATTATATTCATTTGTTTTAAAATATTTTGACATTTAATTAGTTTTAATGGCGTATATTTTCTATAGCCCTCTGAGATTTAAAAATTCCTTACATAAATCAAGAATTATATTGAATTAAGTGATTTGTAGTGAATTTAAGTAATTTCTTAGTGATCTTTATTAGTTGTTTTCTCTATTTAAAAGAAATATGCCACCAGTGAGGTATTGCAAAACGGCCGCAAAAGGTGTAAATCGGCAATTGATTGGCGTTTTGTGGTACTTAATTCTACTAGAAATCACACATTGACATCCACATACCTCAAAAATTAGGTACTAAATGTAAGACAAGTTAATGTTAGTTCGAGAACGGTTAGAAGAAGATTAAAGGATGTGGGTTTAAAGCCAAGACGGCCTGCCAAAGTTCCACGTCTTCTCCAAAATCACACAACTCGTCGATTGCAATTTGCCAAAACGCATATTCAGTCCCAAGTGGCACAAATGTGCCTAAAATGGTTATATAGAGTGTAGTGTGCGTTAAAAAGTCTCCGATAACTCTTACAAAATAATATTGAGTACATTCCAAAATATTTATAAAACTGTTTTATAAAAGATTTATAAATATTTTAAAAATAACATATTTGTCTCAGTTAAAATATTTTTGTAGCAAGCATCTGCATTTTTGTTTTTTAGTTATCAAGAATAAAATTATAATATCGTGTATTTATAGTGACCAAGATAAAACTGATTTTAAAATGGCAAAGTACACATATGTTCTATTTAAATGACAGATATGGCTAATTTAAAGAAAGATGTAAATTGTATAAAAAGTATATCGCCTAACACGTTCCAGGAGTCAAATTTTCCTGCGGAGCAAATTTTACTGATATTATATATCCATATTTGTGGAAATATTTTAAGGTGCTTTCATTTTAATAAGATTTTGCAGTTATAATAAATATTTTATTTTTAGGAAATTACTGCAAAATTACCTGTAAACTGGAAAATCGACATTGTCCAATATCCGATATTATTGAAAACTAATTCGTTTCTTATAAATACATTTATTTTGAATTAAATTTCGATTATTTTGTTTTGCAAATCCCGACTCGATAAAATGGCCGACATACAGTCGTCCAAATTCAACATAAAATCATGGCGTCGACTAACAAAACATTTTTGTTGCTTAGGGAGCAGTTATACAATTAACTTGTTTTACAATGATGCTATACAGAACATATTTGTTTTATTACTTAAAATAATGTCGGCAAAATACAATTAAATTCGTCTATATATTCCGGTGCTGTCCCATTTACAACAATAAAATTATAGACGTCTGTTTTTAAATTCGCTAGTAGGTTCATCAATACTTAAAACATAGAAAGACATTTTAAAAAATTAAAATTTTCATCGATTTTTCTACGGCAAATGATTAAAAAAAATACATAATTAAACACAAATTAGACTTTTAATTATACTTCCAGACTTTATTTTTATTCTGGCGACATTGGATGGCTTTCTTTCCTTCACCTTTTAGATACGAACGCCACAGAATAATAACGTAGAAATGGGCCTCACTACTATGTAGTCGAACCTGGTTTTAATATAGCAATATTGTTGCCCTTCACGTGTTATCCCGCTATTTCAAAACATGATTATTTTTTATTCATTTTGCTTATGTTATTTATTTTTTGTTAGCTACACTTAGACACAAATATGTTTAATATCAGAAATAAAACCTTTCAGTTAGAAATACTTGACATTTTAAGTTTTAGAGATAAAATCACAATTTTAAAATATATTTTAAACTCTGACCAAAACCAAACTTTGAGGTTAGTGCTATAGTATGTTTATAGAGTTTCCTAAATAACATTTTTGTATTAGGGAAAACACTTTTGTTTTTTAATCGCTTTATAAGAATTTTAATTCGTTTCTTTAACAGCAATTATAAAATTGTTTTCTTAGAGTAGCGGTCGCGACTAAATTATTGCGAAGATCAAATTGTTTTATAAATCAGTCGTAAAAACAGCTATAAAACATGTCGATAATGTTTTAATAAACTAAAATGCATATTTTTATAGCTATTTTGTAATTGTTTTAAATTATATTATAAATCAATTATAAAATATATCTAGCTCAAGCATAAATATTTGTATAAGATTCGTTATACAAATTACCAGTGACTGGTATATTGAAAATATCCTCCAAGATCATGTTTTGCCATATGTAGGCCTCATTGGATATTACAGATTCCTATTTATGCACGATAATGCTCGACCACATGCAGCTGGCATAGTGACTAATTATCTTGATATAGTCCAGATTCAAAGATAAGACTGGCCACCATATAGCCCAGACTTAAATCACATTGAGCATTTGTGGGATGAGCATACAACGAAGAAATCCTGTACAAATACACTAGAAGAGCTTCGATATGCGATTCAACACGAGTGGACTGCAATTCATCAAGAATATATTCAAACTTTAATTAGTAGCATGCCGAGAAGGATGCAAGCAGTAATTAGAGCTCGAGGTGGGAATACTCGTTATTAACTATTCCCTATTTTTCCATTCAAAAGATTTTACTTACTTACTTCTGAAGCATTTAAGTTGAAACTAAGTATCCTTCATTTTCATAAATTTAACATTAATTTTTTTTTACGATTTACTGTCAATAATAATTTAATATTCCTTATTTAAAATGTGTAAAATACATTGTTCTTTCTTGTTTGTTGCATATTATTCATTAAAATTTATATACATGAAAACATTTTTGAAAATTTAAAATATTCGATAATTTTGTCCATGAGTGTATTATTTCTTTTTATTAGCTAGTGATAATCTTCATATTAAACTGAAATGATAATGTTCATATTGAACTGATACAAAAAATTACTACTCGCGTTTTCATAGTGAATTTAGTAAATATCATACATTATATCCACAACACACAGCTCACCATCAAAAAGTTTACGAATATTTCCGCATGGAGAAATAAACATTGAATTCATTGTATATTTCCAACAAAATTGAAAACTATTTTAAAAAATGCTGCAATTTTGAAAATACATAGATGTACACAAGATAGTTATCATTAAAATCGATTAATTTTTAATAATTTTGTAAGCGAATAGCATGAATTGTGTTAAAGCATAACCTACATTGGAAATTTAGAAATGAGCCGAGCAGGGTAGATTAAGTTTGGGAAAGCGAGGAAGTTGAATTGGTTTCAAAAAGGGGTTGCGATGATAAAATTGTTGAGCGGGTGAGGCGGGCAAGCGACAAAAATAAACAATAATTAATTCCGGTAAAAGCAGTTTAATCCGGTTGAAGTTGGCTGACTGGTGCACTTATAGCCACGCCCATACAGTTGTCCCTCTATTTTTCACCGCTAGTCTGCAACGATAAAGCGAGAAGCGGGAAGCCGGTGCACTATGGACGTTCCCTAAAGGCGGCTACAGACGTTCATGCATACTTGACAAGTGTACTTGTGCAAGCGTTCTTGTACATGTTCGCATTGACTCCACACAATACAAGCGCACTTGAACAGTTTTAGTCTGGCTTTAGTAGGTAAAAATGGACGAAGAAGACGCGCTACTTGCAATGTTCGTTATTCTGCTTAACCAAAAAGGAAAAAAGAAAACCCGTTGATTTTGGTGCAAAAACTGGCTTCTAAAGAGAAATATCTATTCGCATAATAATATTTTAAACGAATTTAAGTTTTACCCTGCTGATTGGCACAATTATTTACGAATGAATGAAGAAACATATTTGCCAGGTTACTCCTTTTATTGAAAAGAAATTGTTCTTAAACTTTTTATTTTTTTACAACCGAATCGCAGTTTGCAGTTTTATCAATTTCTTGCAATTTTGTAATTAAACTTTTATATGCAGCCTCTCTTTTGTTTCTATTATGGTAGTCCTTTGATTTTACTTGCCATAAACAAAGAGATTCTCTATAAATACTAATGAACTCCACCGATACCTCACGCAAAATTTTCATGTTCACTAGCCATTTTTATCGATCTTCTGGTAACAAACAAATAACTAACAAGCAATAAACCCATAATAAACCTACTAGAATCAACTTCAGGCTTGCGCAAGTTTGATACACACGTTCATGCATACTTGCGCAAGTCACTGGGGCATGAATAAAATTCGTACAAGTCTATGCCACTTGCACAAGTCGAAATACTTGTACATGTTTGTTCCTACACACGTTCAACATTCTTATACAAGTACGCTTGCACATGTGCACTTGTCAAGTATGCATGAACGTCTGTAGCCGCCTTAAGACAGTGCCGCGCAAAACATTCTAAATCTGATTTTATAGCATTAGAACAGAGATGTTAGACTAAAAATATCTAAACTAGCGCTCATGGATCACCGAATCGTCAAATCGCAAGCAAGGAGCGGTCGCTATGCAGTCGCGTCACTGATGACGGTCCTGGCTCCTTCTTATAATACGCCCACTTTACTTTGATGATGCCAAAAAAGGGAACTGTCATCGATCGTCATTTTCTAGTCAACTAGATGCCGTTTTTTTCGATCATACGACATTTCAAACAATACTAACTATACTTTTCACATTTAATTTATTTAAAAAATTCAGATTGTTGAATAATTGAATAAGCCTTTTCAAACATTTCTTAGTAAAATTTTTTTGACATTACCGAGTACTCTTGTCAGATCGTCTGTACAATAAAAATTAAAAAGTTGACATTCCTAGTTTCAATGCATAAAAATTTCAAACTTTTCAGATTAGATTCGTCAATAGAATATTGACAATATATTTCGTCATAGATTTTAAAACGTTTTTATTGAACGTTTTCATGCATCCGAATATTTTTTTACGGAATTAGAATGAAATTTAGGCTTTGACTGACGTTTATTGGGTTTTTGATGTTGCCATGGTAACCTTCGTAAAAAATGGGCAAATAATAATAATACTTTACTTGGGACATTATATGGTTTATTATTATAACTTGATGTTAGAAAAAGTAAATAAATCCTACCTTTCGTTATTTCCAAAGATAAATCACCACTGTCTAATTTTACATTAACATTCCCGTTTTCAAATGTACTAAACAGAAAATTAACTTCTATTGTAGTCAATCTCCTTTCTTCACTCTGAATTTGAAACTTCCAAGTAATTGTACCCTCTGATCCTCCCTCTAAGGCCAAAATGACCAGAAATCAATTACAATTACTAAAATAATAAACTATAAATAATACCTTGCCTGGCTAAATAAACTTGTTTCCAGTCTAATTCTTTTTTCATTAAAATATTTGAATGGTTAAATGTTCCTGAACTCCAATGCTTCATTTCAGTTGACTTTTTACCATTAACTAACATTTGATATACATCACTGGAAGATGAATATTGAATTGTTACAGTTTTATCATTTGGATCGTCAGGATTTATGGACCAAACATGTTGATGCTCTCCATCACTATCTGTGGTTTCACCACGTAATAAGCGCCAGTCTAAGTCGCCAGATTGTCTACCCTGATTTTCTTCATCATCAGGTTTCCTAAAATTAAAATACATTACACTTTTCGTAACGTACCCACACAATACACTAGCTCAGCATTTCTTAATCTTTTTCAGTTCGCGGACCCCTAAAAAATCAAGCATAATTTCAAGGACCCCCCTAATTTAAAAAAAAAACAGAAATTTAAGGGCAAATTATTTTAGTACCTACAAAAAAAATATATTTTTATAAAAATTAAAAATACTGTATTAATGTGCAGGTTGGTGCTGCTTTCTTGCAACCAAATTAGTAATATATGGATTGATACGGGTATAAAGTTACGTAGTTGTAATCTCAAATCGGATTCCAATTGTAATATGTTTCAGTATTTGTTTTTGATATATACAAGAGTAGAGAATGCCTTTTTACAGAGGTATGTGGATAAGAAAAACAGTAAATGTTTCAGTGCTTCTTCTGATATTTCTTTATAAACTTTTTTTAAATTCATCCAAAAATTTGATACAGAAATTTTCAACATCTGCGTTGAAACAGTCTGCTATTCACTTTTTATTTCTATCGGGTTCTGAAAAATATTTCCGAAAAGATGACCTCAAACCGCGGAGGTGATTGATCATTTCGTCTTCTACTTGCGTTGGCAACATTTCCCCAGAGGATTCCAAAAACGCTACCAGTGTAGGAAAATGATTATAGTTTTTATTTATTATACGTGGTTAATATTATATAATTTATATAATGGTGCCCGGTGGCATAGGGGTACAGGCTCTCGTCTACCAATCTCAAGGTTGTGGGTTCGAATCCTACACCTGGCATTTCATTAGCCGACTATTTTTATTAAAATAAAAATAGTTTGGGTACCTAAGTCGACTCAGCCTTAGTCATGGCCGGAACAGCGATTTTTTAATAACAGGTACAAGCTGTTCCAGTTGCAAAAGATACCTGTTCCAAAAAACCTGTTCCAGTTCCAAACTGTTCCAAAACGAAAATTAATACCGTACTTGCGTCGTTCTGTTTCGGTTGCTATTTTTCTTATTAAATTTATATAAAAGAATATTTTTTGCTTAAATAATGAGAACTACTGGGGATTTTTCTGTTTTCTCTAAATTTAATCTACTATCTATGTTGCTATATTACCAAGATATAATGTTTTTTTAACTAAAAATTAAAAAAAACTATAAAATTTTCGAAAAATATAAACTTTTCAAAAACATGTTTTCCCGAAAAAAACTCATGAGAATCGAAATATACAACCCCTAAAAATATGTGCATTTATTTAAGATCCACCCTGTATAAGCACTAATGAATAAGATTTTTAATATGAAGATTTTTAATTTTGTTATATACTTAAAAAGTAAATTCTTGGAAGAGTTTAATTTTTTTTTTAATATCTACTATATTAATTATACAAAACAATAACCGACTGTTCTTACACTGTATTTTTCAAAAAAAACTAGAATGCGATAATTATATTGCATTTGGCAACATCGCCAGCATTTTTTTTTATAATAAAAAATGTGCCTTGCCTATTCTGTTTCTGTTTACATTAAAAAAATAAAATATTTAAAAAAATTATTATAAATTTAAAATTTATAATAAGAGTTTAGTTGAATTTTAATTAAATATTTTAAATAACGGCAACAGCCACACTTGTTTTTTACGCCCCTGTATCCCGATAACAGATAACACCTGAACGGTCGCGTCCGCTAGACTTGATTATCAACTCAAACCAGTTCTTTTTACTTAACTGTTTCAAACAGTTCCAAGTTCCTAACTGTTCCAAGCCCTAAACTGTTCCAGGTCGCAAACTGTTCCAAATCTCAAACAGTTCCAAGTCCCTAACTGTTCCAAGCCCTAAACTGTTCAGGTTGGGACTTGAAACAGTTTAGGGCTTGGAACAGTTTAGCGCTTGGAACAGTTAGGAACTTGGAACTGTTTGGGATTTGGAACAGTTAAGTAAAAAGAACTAGTTTCAGTTGAGAAACGAGGTAGTATATCGCTTTACGCGGTCGCTTGGCGTTATATTATCGAGATTGAGTGCGAGTGCACTAATATAGTGCGTAGATGTAAAAAAAAACAAGGGTGACGGTTTTCGCAGCGTTGCCGATATTTGATATATTTAATTAAAATTCAACTAAATTTTTATTATAAATTTTAAATAGGAAATCAATATTTAAAAATACAGAAAGAAAAGAATATCTAATATTTACTATTTTATATATGTAAAATAGTAAAATACATGTATAAAATAAAAATAACTTACATTCCTAGATAATAAAAACAAGCGGTTCCTTTGTCGGTATGTATACATTTTTTACGCCGGGTTTTTTTTAATGTAAACAGAATAGGCGAAGAGAATTTCTTACCATCAAAAAAACGTACTGGCGATGTTGCCAAATGCAATATAATATATAATTATCTAATTTTGAAAAATACACTATTAAGAATCTAGTATCACAAATATAGTAGATAGCATAATTTAAACAATTCCAAGAATTTATTTCTTTAAGTATTTAATTTAAGTTGCAGTGTTTTGAAACAGCTGGAACAGTTAGAACTGGAACTTGTATAGGATAGCACATAAACCTGTCCCAAGCCAGTTCCAAAACAAACCTGTTTCGAAAATAACAGATCCTGTTCCAAAGCGTCATCACTACTTAGCCTTAAATGAGTACTTGGGATTCACATTCCTGAGGTAATAATAGGCGGTTGAAGCGTAGTGCTAGCCACATTAGCTTCCTTGTATACCGAACGGCTCTAGTATGGCAAGTTGTACTTTTCTACTCCCAAGGCGTTAAACGCTATATACAGGAGCTATTATTATTATTATATTTATTATACGATTAGCCCAAAGGTCAAGTTTTTTTTTAATAGCTATTATTTTATCTTCAACAGCAGTAAATTATATCTAATATACAGGGTCCGGTAATAGTGCGTCAGGCATCTGTAGCTCCTAGAATAAAAAACTTGGAAATTTTGTTTAAGTGCAAACCTAAAGTATTAAAAAGAAGTATAAAAAAGACTCGAGTCTCTTTTATACTTCTTTTTAATTTAAACCAGGTCTCTTTGAGAAGAATGGGCGCCTTCTTTAAACCCAAAGTATGTAAAAGGATGTATTTCAGGAAAATATTTTAACTTCTATAGGGTGGCTCAAAGAAGTGTGAGTGGATCGGAATGATTTTTTTAAATGGAATACCCTGTATATTATTGCATTTTTGGCTTCTGTTCAGATTACTTTACGTGATCCTAAGATGTGAGTAAATATATTTCGGTAATTTCAGAGATATTAATAAATAACCAAAAAATATTTATTCTTCAAATCTTCCTTTAAAAAAATTATTACAAATACAAGAACTGTTCTGAAATCAAAACTATATTAGGTATTTACTTTAGATGATCTATACTTACTTTGCTATAAATATCGTAAGATTACGATATTCATACAGAGAGCTCAAAATTCTACGCCAAACTTTCTAAAATATAAAATAATTTTTCTTTTTTTCTTTAATTGGAACACCCTGTATATTATTTTTTTACTAGATGGAGAATTAAAAAATTAACATTTTTTGTATTTAAAGTATTTCAATATTTTTAATGGTTCTGTACATACTTTTTTACACTTTAAAAAATTCCCAAATTGCTTATTGTAGGAGCTACAGATGCCCGACGTACTATTGCCAGACCCTGTATGCTTATGTTTTTTCAGTGCTTCTTGAAATTGTTTTTGGACTAGTTTACAATGAAGACAGTCGAAAGAATATATCTGCAAGCGGTCCCACTTGCTGACGCACGCTCGCCATGCCAAGCGTAACGATTACGAGACTTGCTGACATTTGGTTATTAATTCAAATGTTCATAGATAAGACGGCGGATCGCCATAAACATACTCGCGGACCCCCAGGGGTCCGCGGACCACAAGTTAAGAAATGCTGCCCTAGCTATACAGAAACAACAGTAAGTTAAGGCACAGATTGGGACGCATGCCACGCAACCCACGCAAGGCAAGTTTTTGTAACACAAGCAAGTTAATACCTGTCCGCAAATTGAGACGCAGCGCAACACAGGCCACGAATGTGTTATGTTATGTAAGGCGCACATTGGGACGCATGCCAAACAAACGACGCAAGGCATTTCTCGAGGCAATCCGCGCAAGTTGACCGTGTGCTATGTCAGAAGCACATAGAGCCGCACAAGCCAGACGCTCACACGCACAAATCTTATTAGATTATTTCTTAGATTTAGTTTGTTTCTAGAAAAGGCAAAAAGCACAATGTCGGCAGTTTCTGAAATATAATATTTACTAGATCTAGTGAGTCAGATTCGGAGGAAGAGTGGGAAACAGAAGTTCTGCTATACGTTGTGAAAAAACGCCGAAAATCTTTTTGGATGAGCAATTACATGAAAAACTTCCTTTGCAATAGTTGCCCAGATATCCTTCAGTTTAGATTTCATGTATGAAAAGTGGTTAGTGTCATACAGCACTGGAAAGTTCCGAACAGCCTCTGTTATTTTGTCCGGCATCTTGAAAACTGCATGTAAATGTGCCGCACGCACAAGGAAATCTGTGTCTCGACTACAAAGTGACGCACAACTAACTCAACACATTCGTGGCCTGTGTTGCGCTGCGTCTCAATTTGCGGACAGGTATTAACTTGCTTGTGTTACAAAAACTTACCTTGCGCTGCCTTGCGTGGGTTGCGTGGCATGCGTCCCAATGTGCGCCTTACCTTAGTCGTGCGTCACTTTGTAGTCGAGACACAGATTTCCTTGTGCGTGCGGCACATTTATATGCAGTTTTCAAGATGCAGGAAAAAATAATAGGCTCTATGATGCTGTGGACTTCAGAAAACTGCTCTCTATTTAACCGGAAGTAGTTCGAGAAATTCACATTCGACAATTCAGATGTCAAAGCGAATTCTCCATGAGTTCGTCGTTTTTTCATGTAATTGCTCATCCAAAAAAATTTTCGGCGTTTTTTCGCATCGTATAGCAGAACTTCTGTTTCCCACTCTTCCTCGGAATCTGACTCATAAACTAAAATCTAG